TTAATAAACTGGGTCCTCGAGGTATGACTAAACATATGACTATCATATTTTTTTGAGTGGGGATGGTTTTCCATTTCTGACTAGAAATATTAACACTTAAGTTGTTTACCTTGAACAAGCTTCTTGCTGGTATTAGCTTTGCCCACACAATCCATGCCTGAAATATATAAAGAGCATGTTAAGGTCCAATCCTTCATCAGAAATACATATGCAAGCTATAAAAAAATCAAATGGCATCAATCTGACATGCTACTGTATACGCAAAACAGTACTCATTGTCAAACCACGCCTCGCCATAACAAAGGTAACTGCTAAGTTACCTCTGCATGCTAGTTAACTATTTAGTTGACAGTCACATCGAACCCAAAGATTTCATTTTCGAGGATAAATAGTAACTTTAACCTTTCTAAATGTCAAAAAGCCCGCACATAAAACGCAGAAGCGCTTACAAACTTCCAAAGAAATAATGGAGGCCAACTACACGTATAATGTTTAGTTTGGATCTCCCGCCTTTCAGTGAAAGATGGTCTGTAGGCCTGTAGCGACTGAGTTTGGCTACTGAACCTGTGACTACGGAGACATTAAGTTCGTCCATTACAGTTAACCCAAGACTGAGGAACAAAGTAGTAGATTGAGCTCAGAACAACATAAACGGGGCTTATTTTAATAAACCCGCTTGAATACAGGAAAAAAACAACCATTACACGTAATGAAAATCACATTTAGTGTGAGTAGAAAACAAGATTATCAATAACAAATCTGAGCTCACCTGCTAACGTGATAATTAAAGCCGAAACCCTCGACAACCCCAAATGCTACTTTGAAAAGACATTGAAATGACATTTTTATCTTCTCTCAGAGCAAATGAACCAAACTAAAACCGTTTCATTACGTTAGTAATGTCCGGTAAAATGTGGAGTTTTTCCACGTTATTAGTCACCTATATGCGCTCTCTTACCATTATTATTCCCTATATATAGACTCTAATCACGCATTAAACCAGTTGTATTTCACATTAAACATCAGACCTCTTCGTGGTGTGGAGGCCAGAGGCTCTTCGGCCGCGAGCATCACGACCACCATCCGCGCGCCCTTCAACTCCTCGCGCTGGAAACGTTAAACGGAAACGGGCAGCGCTTTTTTGTACTCCATACAAAGCTCCTTAAGGCTAGTCATCGACTGCACGTCTTTTCCATGTATAACATTAACGTGTCGACTGCGAATTTGATGGGTTTCTGTTACTTTTAGAGCGGTTGGTTCTGTTTTTTTCCCTGTGTAATCCCGGTCCAGCCGTTTCAGACCAGTCTCATCCCCGGCCAGACTCCCCTCGCGCTCCCCGCTCAGAATTGGCGGGAGCCTGTTGCGGGACTGGATCGGAGTGTGCGATTGGCCAGCGGCGCGCTACGTCACATCAACGAAGAGTCACGTTATTGGCTGTCACACTTGATTCTGCCTCGCAACACGTAGCGGTCAAAACCTGTGATTGGACAGTGAGTGTGATTCTCGAGTAGGATTGGTCAAATAAAAATAATAAATTACAAAGTTATTCCGCGTAACTACTTTGCCTTGGTAATTCGGTGTAGAGGGGTTCTGATGAGTCAAAATAATTTTTATGAATTGAATTTTATGAATTTTATGAATTTTTCCTAAATAAAACTGAAATAATTCCGTAATTCTGAGGTGGGTTTTGAGAGGCATGACACATTCAGGATTTATATTTTAACAGCAAACGTCAGTAATTCCGCATAAGACCGTGAATGATCCTTAATTCCAAAGCATGAAAATATTCACAAGCTTCTGCCAAAAATAACATAAAGGGGTCATATTCATACATTGCCAGCCACAAGGCAGGAAAACTAACCACATCTTAGATCATCTCGGAATGGGGCTTGTAGTCTTTAAGTTACAACTTCCGTCCGCTACGTGCAAAACAGGTCTCATTAGAACTACAATTCCCATAATGCACCAGAACGCTAGTCCGCCACGGGATTGCCAGAATTCAAAGCGGGCCGCAGACACTTCCCCATGAAACTATTTAGCGGTGCACAGGTATCGTATGATTAAGAATATGAGCCTGAGGTTTTATTGTATTATTAAAGCAGTCGTTTTTCTCTTAAGCACATGCATTAATATTTCTGATTTGCGTAGACGTTGTATAGTTTGACCATTGCTTTTCTACTGCAGTTTTGTTTGACATGGTTAGCCGTATTATGTTTTCAAATATCATTAATTCAGTGAAATATCGTTAATATGGAACTGTTATAAACAATAAGAACACATATTAAATACAAAATATGCATTTATGTTATTTAGAGACAACTGTTATGATCTAATGTTGCTTGCAGTGTTCAACAGTTATGTATCATATTGTGATCACAACTTAAAGGCAAAAGCCTGATGATTTTTTTAAATCTAATTTTAAGAATGTTTGCCTGTTTTTACGATATTTGTATTTCTTTTAGCACTGAAAACTTCAATTCATCAGTTCAGAGAGAGAAAAGTTCACTACCACCAGAAACATAAACATTAAACACTTTCTCAAAATCGAGAATGACGGGTAAATCAGGTTTGGGTGGCATATAAAATTTATGAATCTCACTGTTTTCAGTTGCTTTTTTCAATGGAAAATTGTTTATTGTTATTGCTGTGGTTAAAAATGATTTGTTTCCATTTTTGCCCGACAGATCGAGCAAACAACTTCCCCCCTCTGCCAAAGTTTATGCGCATAAAGCCATGTTTTTACCAGAACGTGGCTGAGGAAATTCCACAACCCTACCAGCAGCTTGTGCGTCGTGTTTACAATCTTTGGATGTGTGAGTAAAGAACAGTCAACTCTACTGGGAATAGTTTGGTTTCAGATTTACCAAAGCTGAAATTCCTAACTTTGACTGAAGCATCTAATGACTGACATTTCTATTTTTCAGTGTACTGTATCACACTATGTGTTAATGTGGTGGCCTGCATAGCCTGGTGGGCCGGCGGGGGCAATGTGGACAACTTTGGGTTTGCGCTCCTCTGGCTGCTGGTTTTCAGCCCATGTAGCTACACCTGCTGGTTCAGGCCACTCTATAAAGCCTTCCGGTAAGGAACCCATTTTGGGAAACGACAAATAGAGCTGAGGTTTTCATTTTTCACTTTAACCCGTTTTGTCTTTTTTTTAGGGCTGATAGTTCCTTCAACTTCATGGCATTCTTCTTCATTTTCTTTCTGCAATGTGTTCTTGCCTTCATCCAGAGTCTTGGAATATCAGGTTGGGGTGCTTGGTGAGTAACATTTAAATGTTAGGATATTCAATATTTAATATGAGCATTGGTGGAGGGACATCTGATTGATCTGATTGGCTTCCCCAGGTGCCACCCAAAAATTTAATTTGCTACTGGCAGTTTGGTGATTGACATTTCATTTCACCTCTTGAAAAAGAAGTATTTATTTTGCCATGCAGTGTGGCATGCTGTTAATTTACGTTAACATTGAATGTTAAGAGAATATTAACGTTGTTTGCAAGAACAAGTTTAAAGGGGGTCACACGCTGTACAGGGATAATATGGAAAACATACTATGGAAGTCAATGGCTACCAGCAACCGTTTGGTTACCAGCATTCTTCAAAATATCTTCTTTGTGCTCAACAGAAAAAATAAACTCGTACAGGTTTGGAACAAGATATTATAGATTAGATTGCCCTTATTCTTTCCGTTTGCTCCGTTTTTACAGCAAAACTCATCCTTTTTTCATTTTTGAAGTGAACTTTTTGTCTGTATGGTGACTAGATTTTGGTCTGTCGCCTTGAATTTGAGAATACCACATAGTGCTTCTCGCCTGGTGTTCATAGCCTATTTGAACTAAGTGGGTTTTCATCAGGTTAGGTTTCCTGAACAGCTTTTATGTGTAAGTTAACTTTAGGCCAGTGATTCTCAACTGGTTTGGCCATGGGACCCACATTTTCCCATGGTCATCGAGCCGTGACCCACTTTTTTAATATATAGTTATACTTTATATATATACTTTTTAAAATATAGTTAACATGCACATAAATTGTAAGAATATGACTAATACTGATGCCTATAAGGTAAGGCTATTAAATAGCAGTCCCAAATTAGTTTTGCTAATACAATTATAGAATAATGACACTGACATTAAGCCTGACAGCATCTCATCTGACTGCAGATTCTGAATCAGTTCAGCACGTTTTTCTCAGGCACTCTTTACTTAAACTGCATTTGACAGAAATGTCAACAGCTTTCACACATCTTTCAAAATAAAAGTCTTGCATCAGAAAAACATTTAGAATTAAGTTTTTTGTTGTTGTTGTTGTTGTTGATGTTGTTTCTTTGACTGTGGGTCACGACCCACGAGTTGAGAAACCTTTTGTCCAATACAGTTAATCACATAAGAGAGACAATATCATTCCACATTTAGCCTAGTGTCATAAGTACAGTACAGTATAGGAATATTTAGTTAATGTGTGGTCCGAAAAGGGTTACTTTGCCACATTGAAGAGCTCATGGTTATGTGAATTATCACTTCTACCTCTAATAAGCAATCATGCTCCTTTGATGCCAGGTTAGGGTTAAACACTCATTTTCTTTCATTGACTGAACCCTCTGAAGTAGCCTTGGCAACCCCATGGATGAAACTAGTTCTGCCACTGAATATGAGTTCAGTTAACATCATTTGTGGTTTAATGTCAATTAACACAACAAATTATTTTAGCTCACTTAAAATGGAAGTTCATAGGACTAGGCAGTAGATGCATTGAACATACAGCTACAAACTACAAAACCTAATTATTATACGTGGTAATTTGCGACTAATTTGATAGATTACATCCTATATTTTTACTTCAGTGTCATGATGACATAACTGATGAAGTAAGTGCTTTTAAAAAAAGATACAAACTTCACATTTTGGCCTTTCAACACTACAGTTTTGAAGTCAGTAAGAAATTAATACTTTTATTCAACAAGGACAAAATAAATTGATCAAAAGTGACTGCAAAGACATTTATAAAGCTTCAAAACATTTCTATTTCAAATAAATGCTGTTCTATTGAACCTTCTATTAATGATTTATGTATTGCCGTTTCCAAAATATTAAGCAGCATAACAGTTTCAACATTTATGATAAATGTTTCTTGAGCATCAAATCAGCATATTAGAATAATTTCTGATGGATCATGTGAGAAATGATACTGAAAATTCAGCTTTTCATCATAGGAATAAAATACATTTAATTTAAATTGTAATAATATTTCACAATACTACTGTTTTCAAATAACCATATAAAAAATCTTACTGACTTATTTCTTTCTGTTGATTGAGCTTAACTCAATAAATTCAGTCTTTGTGTGGGTATTTTAATACTTCCATATTTTTCTCTTTTCGCAGTGGCTGGATTGCCACAGTGATGTTTTTCGGCACGAATGTAGCCTCGGCTATATTCATGCTCATCTGTACTCTGCTCTTTACCATAGATACAGTTCTAATGGTGTTCATTCTCATCAAGGTATGATTTGCATATACACACGACCCTTAATGAATAAACCCTTAAATCAAAATGAAAGAGCAATGTGTGACATCACTCCTGTCCCCTAATAGGTTCATCGAGTGTATCGCGGTGGAGGAGGCAGTTTTCAGCAGGCACAGGAAGAATGGAGCACGGGCGCTTGGAAAAGTGGCCCTGTGAGGGAAGCTGGATTCAACGCCATCTCTGAAACCGGCCCTAGCCTGCCCCAGTATCCAGCCGCTGTGCCCAATTACCCAGAGAGCGGACCCTGGTGATACTTTTTCTGAACTACAGATGGAGCCTGAGTACCACTGGTTGTCTTAACATTAAAGGGGCAGTTTGCAGTGGGACGTTACCCTTTATTTTGTGCCAAGAAAACACTTTGGCCAGATCGCGGACTTGTGAATAGTTGCTTTGCATTTGTACAATGTTTTTTTTTAATTTTTTTTTTTATACATACATAGCAAAAAGATCTAATGTTAAATCACTCCTTAAAAAATGTGTATAAACCTAAATAGTTTGTTCAAGTTAATATTTTGAACACTTTAATGTGAATGATGATCAAAAATGTGTCAAACCACATTTTTGGGTGCAAATTCTGACAAATTGCCACCCAGAAGGTTAAATAGCCAAGCCAAATAAGCAAACTGCTCCTTTAAAGACTCTCAACACATATTACTCTCAAAACTGACAGGAAAACGGTGGACCATTAGTATAAAATTAGCAAAAAAAGGACACTATTAAGTTGATGAATTCATCTCAGTTCATCTGAGCCTTGATTTTTCTTATCATTCCATTGACTTGCTTGAGAATGAGATCAGAATAGTTGCATATCAAATCACTGAATCATGTAGAATACATATGCATATACTGTATATGACTGTATTCCGTACAATCACATTACCGTTTTAGGGAAAGTGATTTTTTTAAAGAGGAAAAAGCATGTCAAAACTTTTTTCTAAATCATGGCAGCTTTTCTATTTACCTCAAGAAATGTCCACATCAGTGCTTCTCCAATTCATTTCAAACTGCGGTTAATTATTCGTTCAGACTTTCAAGATCCACAAGCATGAATTAGATGTCTTTGTAAATGGTATGATTTGCATATGACACACCCTTTTTAAACTGCAACACAGCAATGCAGATTTTTTTTAAGATCTATGACTGAGAATGTTTCTTGCAAACACATCTTGTGCCTGCTTTCTTTTCTGTTTAACGCTTTTCACATCTTCGAAATGAAGACCGCCTTAATTCTTCATGCAAATTAAGCATGTGTGAACCAATAGCTTTCAAGTTTCCCTCAAGTGCTACAACTCTATTGGTGGATGTGGCTACATCCTGTGCTGTTATTAATACTGGCTTCTAAATATGCATTACTTTGCATTTAATCCTTGTATCATTTCAGTAATCATTGTGCTTCGTATTGTTTACAAATGTGGTTGGCAGGAGGCACTCAATATGAACATGTGACTTGATCTTTATTAGTTTTCGTTTAAGATCTCCCTCCACCGAGCCAAAGGAGGCTGATTTTGAAATGTTCCATGACTGGCCTTGTGTAGCCAAAGTATTTAACAATCCTGTATCTAAAATGTGACCAGACTGGCTCTCTAACGAAGTTTATTTCAATAAAAACATTCCTTTTCAGATTGAAGTTGCTTACATTTTAGTTGCTCCTTGCTTCTGAATATGCATACTTTCTGAATATATAGTAGGCAAAATTAATAGTATGTCCAAAGTCATAGTATTAATTGAGGTGAAACAGAGAGAGAATAGACGTAGTTAAGAAATGTGTACTTGAGTACAACACCGGGTCATGGCACCAAAAAATACTGACTTGCGTGCTCTGTACTCTTACTGAGAGAGTGAATGTCGCAAAGAGCTTCCCTAACAAATGTAATAGCTACTCAGTATGTGATTTTGGACGCAGCTACTAATTGGTAGGATGTTTACCTTAGTTTTTTCTTAATAGGGCAGCAAATGTATCTAAATTTTCTAAAAAAGCTGTTAAGAGAACATTCACAGGTTGTCTTGACAAACCTTGCTTTTCTACTTAATGTATACATTTCTTTGAATTTCAATTAGTTTTAATTCTACTTGCATTGCATTTTAAACTAATTCTGCACAAAAAAAAAGATTTATTTTTTTATTATTAATAAAAATAAATAGGTATAAAAATATACAAAATCATAATGTAAAAAAATAAAAATTCTTAAATCTCAGACTCGTCTGTAATGTACTTAAAAATACAAATGTCCGTTGGTGTATCCCCATTGGTGATATTCCTGTGGAAGCTAGTGGCTTCTAGACCACTGTTCGTTGTGACACACAGCCTGACCATTTGCTGTTTACTGTCCACAGCATCATTTCCTGTGTGCATGTATTCCCTTTCTGGAAGATTCCTGGGGCTTTTGATTGACTGTCTCCCACAGCACATAAACGGAGAGATGTGGCCCATGTACAGGTTCCAGATCAGCAGACATGCCATCATAACAGACAGCACGGCCAACGCCACTTGCATTACTATCCATTTGCTCTCACTGCTCAGATTTTTTGAATATGATGGAGGCTCTTCGGGTTTATGCAAACCTGATGATGTTGTGTAGCTTTCAGAAAGGATTCCCAATGTGGTCTTAATCTTATCTGTCACAACTGCTGCTGATTGTTCACGCAAGTCATAAATGGCCAGCGTTTGGGTGTAGTCTCTCCCTTTCGCCCGCTCAACTGACGTGCAGGTGTAGCGTCCAGCATCAGCGGCAGAAGCGTTGTAGACAAGGATGCCTTCATTATAAATAGTATACTTCCTGTTTGAGTAGGGGAGTGGCTTTCCAGCAAAGTTCCAGATGACCTGGGCCAAGTTAGAGTCTGGATGACACAGCAACCTAATGTTGTTTCCCAGCACCAGGGTGCGGATCTTTGGTTCCACGGGAGCTGAAAAAGTGAAAAACATGTTAAATAGAGCCCTGATTTTAAAAGGGAATAGTTCACACCAGAATGAAAAATGCTAAAAATGTACTCACTCTCAGGCCATTCAAGATGAGTTTTTTCTTCATCTGAACAGATTTGGAGAAATTCAGCATTGCATTACTTGCTCACCAATGGATCCTCTGCAGTGAATGGGTGCCGTCAGAGTCCAAACAGCTGATAAAAATATCATAATAATCCACAAGTAATTCACACCACTCCAATCCATCAATTAACAACTTGTGAAGTGAACAGCTGTGTGTTTGTAACAAATCCATCATGAAGATGTTTTTAACTTTAAACCGCCGTTTCCAGCTAAAATACGAATCCTCTATCCATAATATTCCTTTCTACAGTGAAAAAGTCACGTAGGCTGAATCAGGAGAGGAATATGCACAGATCAAGCACCATTTACAAGCAAAAACAGTCCAAAACAGCTCTGAACAAAATATGATTTTGATGTGAGAGGACAACAAGAGATGGACTTTTTCACTGCAGGAAGTGTTATTATGGATTACGGCCTTTTATTATGGCCAGAAGCAACGGTTTTAAAGTTAAAATGCCTTGATGATTGATTTGTTTCTTACAAACACACAATGTTAACTGATGGTCTGGATTCGTGTGGATTACTTGTGGATTATTGTGATGTTTTTATCATGTTGTTTGGACTCTCGCTCTGACGGCACCCATTCACTGCAAAGGATCCATTTCTGAGCAAGTGATGTAATGCTACATTTCTCCAAATCTGTTCCAATGAAGAAACAAACCCTTGGATGGCCTGAGGGTGAGTACATTTTCAGCAAATTTTCATTTTTGAGTGAACCATTCCTTTAATATTGAATCAGAAAAAAGTTGATAAATACCTGTTGTTGGGCATCGAGTGGCATCCCCATCCATTAGACTTTGTATCAGATTGCTGAAATGCAAAAATGTTAACTGTTAGCATATGTTGTTTATACACACTTACATATAGTCCAGTAGATTTTAGAAATGCAAAACGGTTAAATAAATAGTTTACTAACCCTCAGCTCCAAAAAAATATGAAAATACAAGCAAAGTTTTTACATTTTAAATTGTTAATATCTCCTCCTGTGTTCCGAAAATCAAGTCATGTCGGTTTGGAATGACATGAAGGTAAGTAAATGATTTTATATATATACACACACACACATACATAAATAAAAAAAAAATGTTTTTGGCAATTTTTCCTTGATATGGGTTTGTACTTGTGTGTGAGCGCTTTAGTGCTTTACCTTTTTGCATTCTCAGGTGATGTGGGTACTCTAGAGCACCGTTGCACTGTGGCGTCCCAGGCACAGTAAGGGTCTCTAGCCAGCACACAGTCCACACAGGAAAAATAACGACTGCAGCTGCTGACGGGCATCTGAACAACCCCAGACGCAGAGCCTGCATACAACTGGACAAAACAAACAACTCATGCTGATTCATGCATTTTTTTCATGATAAACATGCAACAAAATATTCCTTCACTTTGTCTTTCTAACAATTGCCAATCAGAGTTGTTACAAAAATAACTGTTATTATGTGAAAATGATGCTTTTTATTTTATTTTTCTGATTATGCTTTTATTCAAATAAACATGAGTATAAGTGTCTTTAAGGACACAAAAACAAACATGACCATGTAGTTTAACAACTCATTAACAACTGACCATTTCTTTTTAGTGAATCAGAAACACAGCACAATCGGTGTAGCCCATTTCCCGAAATAAATGATTCATATTACGAGCCAGTTCTTTTAAATAATAGTTCAAAATTATGAATTTTTTGAACTATTTTGAATTTTGAAACAAATATCTCCTTATATTTTATATGCAGAATAAATAAGCATTAAAGGGGTCATATGATGCTGCTAAAAAGAACATTATTTTGTGTATTTGGTGTAATAAAATGTGTTTATGCGGTTTAAAGTAAAAAAAAAACATTATAAGAGAAAGGAAAAATTGAAATCGCATCATAGCCACAGGAGGGCGCAATGAGCAAAATAATGCACCTCATTAAACAGTTTATTCAATGCAATGAAAATACCTAGTCTATAAAAAAAGTACATAACGTCTAAACTATTTATAAATCAAATATGATTTCGTAAATTGCATAAACAATAATGAACAAAACAGCATCATGTATTTATGCATAGCTTAATACAAATAGCCAAAGCGCCGATCACACGATTGCATGTAAAAACATATGAGACGCAGTGGAATGGAATAAAAACCCCACAAATTCTCGAGACATGTTTTCTAAAAGTTGAACCTCTTTTAACTTTACATGGCTTTCTATTCATCTCTTGTGCGAGACGCGAGTGCAACAGTCATAGTTGTGCGTCTCAAAAAAGTGCCGAATATGCATTCTGTGTGAATGGCTTGGTTTCAGTTTTAACCTAACCAATATCTTCTCCGCATTGAGCTTCTATAGTTCTCTAATATTTTGAATGGAAAATGCAGCAGCGGCGCATCT